AAAAAATAAAGAATAAAAAAGTATTTTATAATACATAGTACAAAACTGTTTGGCGATTTGGCGAGGTGAGCCTCAAAGGGTGCCTTGTTGCCTAGGCGCCTCCCTAGGCGTCGTCTTGACAACTATGCATTCCTTGAAAATGATCGACTATTGCTCAAATAATCCGATGAATACCTTCATGGGATGGGGCAACAAGGTAAGTGGTGAGGAACTGCTTCTTATATGTCTGGCATAAAGAAAGAAGTTTTGGATGTTTTTTTGTCCTGAGCTCCAAGAACACCATTCACATGAAAAGGAGATCAATGGAAGGATATTAGAGGCTCAAATCCATCACCAAAGAGGATATTAGGGTCTCGAATCCATCACCAATGAGGCAGTATGTTCTCTCTACATGTAACATATAGATTGCGTGAATTAATTGTAAAATTTTGATCCACTTTTCAGCATCTCCCTTTTTTGACAAGTTTTTTAATTTTTAAGTTTTGGAAATCTTGGATGTTTCAGACCCTTTGTCCATGAGGAATTTTTTGTTGAAATTTCAGTGTTTTGGTTCTTTTGGATTGATTTCTTTATTAAACTTTAGTTGTTTTATTATTTTTTATTATTTTTAGTTTATTCTGTCAATCTTATATTATTTTAACAATGTTCTGAAATTTCAGATGAAATTCCAAAATTTTGGCCAAATTAATCTGGCTGACATAATTTAAATATTTCATTGGTGCTTCAATGGCCTTGACCAAAATGAGAAATTTGCAAAATTTCACTAACATTTAGAACCATGTTTCCTGATGCCATCTTTCTTTGTTTAGACCAACCCACAAACTCATCAAGTGGTTAACTTTTAATTCATCTAGATATTTTCCAAAGATGGTGGCTCCATAAAATTTTGTTTTCTTCCATTTTATAGTTTTCCTTAGTGATCTCCTCTCTTGCAATTTCCATCTACCATAGGCATATAGCAATGAGAACTCAAAGCATAGAGATTGGCTTTCATGCCGTCATGGTTCACAGTTTCCTCGAAACATTTTGAAAATTTCCAAAAGGGTGAAGCAGAAACATCCTGGAATAAAATTTTCAATATATCTTGATATTTTAAAATATTTGGATGTATCAATGAAATTTTCAATTTTTATGTGCAGACCTTCCAAATTCCTCTTAAATATTGGGAAAATTTCACAAGTTTTTTCAAACAGCTACGAAGCATGGAAACATGTTCAAACCACATTTTTTTGGCATATACCGAAAAAAATATATTTGGATTTATTGATTCTAGGCCTTTGAATCAACAAATTTAACCAAGTTTTTAGTTGAATAATTATTTTATGATGCATAGTCATTACAATAATACGAGTCATAGTAATATTTGATATGTTCTCTGAATATATGATAGAGCTTATTTTAAACAGCCTTAAAGTGAAGGAGTTAGGATATTAAGAGATATATTTGGTTTTTAATGATTCTATCCTTGCATGATAATAATTAGATGTTCCCATCAATATCTATTTAAGGATTTTAGTCATCTATTGTTTGTAGTAATTGATGTCTTTTCCACAAGAATCCTTGCCAGATTTTAATATATAGGGTTCGGATAAATTGAGAAATATTGCATGCTTTTGTTGTTTTCTTGAAAGTCACTGTTACAACTTATGATAATTTATTCATCTTATTATTCAATTTTTAATCCTCAGTTTTTTTCTCTTTTTTCCTGGTGATTTTAGTTTATTGTAAGCATGGGTAGTTGATGCTTTTGTTGATAGCTGCCTATCATATGGGCCCTGCCACTTACACTTCTCTCTTTGCTCTTTCCTTTCTTCATCCTTTCCCAAGTTAATAACAAACTTTTTTTTTTTATTGAAAAAATATCTTTTACATTGCATTCTTTCTATAGAAAAAAAATGTTGGCTTTTCAGTATATGCATATGCATCTATTTGGTGTCCTACTGGGAATCAGGTCATATATTGAACAATTCCAGGAAACAGTTGAATCTTTAAGAAACCATGGGAAGTATCAAAGAAGAATGTTTGACCAAGCTGTGCAGCTAGTTCGTCCTGGTGGTGTTATTGTGTATTCCACGTAAGTATGGATTTAACATTATTTGTTAATTGATATTCTTTGGACCACTATATTTCTAAATTAATTCCTAGAGAATTTGTTTGCCATAATTGGAAGATCATAAAATTTTATCAAATTATCATAATGACAAATGATGAGTTTGATTGGTCCCTACATTTGATTTAGGTCATGATGCTGTTTACCATTTTATAGTTCCTTTTTTTCTTAATTGATGAAAGTTCTGTGGTCATATCTTTAAAATAGGTAATATTTATAAGTTTATAACAGGTATCAAGAATGATATTTGCTACCAGGTATATACACTATATGCCATCACAAAATAAAAAATTATGCATCAGTAATTGTCATGAAGTTTTAATTATACATTGATCCATTGTTTTCTGAAAGCATCATGGTTCAAATGTGTTTCTTTTTATTTTTTTTAATTGTTTGTAGAATTGTTTTTTATTCTGTTTGCTGATCTTTCCCATCCAAGCCTCCAAGGTAGTACCATGGTAGTCCAGAGCTTATAAAAGGATCTATGTTCCTTTTCTTTTTCCTTTTGCCGAACAACTCTATTTGCCAATTCAATATTCTTTTTCAAGTAAAATCTTGATGGGTTTAATGCAATGAATGTTGGTTTTCTAATGCTTTTCTGTTAAGTAATCAAATGAACATGCCTACTTTATAAATGGCTAACTACTATGATCTCTCAATCATAGAGTGGTTTGCAGGATTCTTGGCACTAATATTATTTTTTTATGCTTCTAGATGTACAATAAACCCTGGAGAAAATGAAGCATTAGTGCGTTATGCTTTGGATACATATAAGTTCCTCTCCTTAGCTCCACAGGTGATATGTCAAAACTAAAAAGTGGTTTACTTAATTAATTTATCATATGTTTGTCATGGATTATGACCCGAATTTACTTGATTTTGTTTTTGATTTTTACTTTGCAATATCTATCCTTTGTCCTTACAACACTTCAAGTTGTATTACTGAGTTGAGCTCCCCTTTCTAGAAAAGGGAAAGTTCTAAAAAGAAAGGAAAAAGAAAAAAAACCTCTCAGGATCACCTTTTACATACTTCTGTTAAACTCAAATACCTAGGCATTTTCCATTGACTAAAGTCTACAGTGTGTCAGTGCCTTGCCTGTTTGGCATAAATCATACTTTTTTGGATTGCTTATCCCAAAAGTTCCAGACGTTAATAACAGATCAGCAAGATCATTTAATATGGTGGCTTCCAAGCTATTGGATGTTTCTATGTTATGATGATTATAGTCAACCTGAATGCAGTACCACAAGACGGGTAGTTACCAAGTTTCATGAGCCTATTCTGAGCCAACTGAAATTAAGTTAGCAGTTCTCTGGTTTTTCTGATTTTGCACTTAAACAAAATCCTGATTTATTTGTTATTGATCCAAAAAAATGTTAGTTCATGATACTGTACTTTCTTAGAAAAGGAAATGAAAAGAAAAGAAAATAAGGCCTTTTAACCTGCTCTTCAAAATTGGCATGGTCGCCTTATGTCTCCTTAAGGTGGCAGCCACACACAGGAGTTACAAACTTCTCTTTTTAAATCACTGCATAGGGGATGCCTTTTGTGATGAAATCTTGCATTCCATTTGTTGTTTTTAATTTGTGCACTCAAACCAAGGTTAGACCACTGCCCTATAAGGTTAGGCCAAGAAGTGGTTGTGGGAGGTCCTACCCCTTCAGATTCGAGAATATGTGGTTAAACCACCCTGAATTTTTTCAAAAGGTGGAATAGTGGTGGATAGAGGATCTATTGGAGTGAAATGGAAGGGGCTTAGGCTTTACAAGAGGATGCAAAGTTTAAAAACTAGAATAAAGGAATGGAATAGGGACCATGTTGGGAGATTAGAGGAGGACAAAGAGAATATAGCGGCTCAAATTTAGCTACTGGACAACAAGGAGAGTCAAGAAGCTCTCTTTGAGGAGGGGAAGTCTCATAGGTGAGAAACTAAAAAAGGATTTGGAGAACACTCAAGAGAAGAAATCTGTTGGAGGTAGAAATCTAGGTACAGATGGATAAGAGAAGGGGGTGACAACACAATTTTTTTTTTTTTTTTTTTTTTGTTCATGTTGTGACCAATTGGAGAAAGAAAAAGAATTTTATTTCCAAATTAGTAAGAGAGGGCAAAGGGGTTACAAACCAGGAGGAGATTGCAAATATTTTTGTTGAGCACTTTAAATCAATTTATGAAAGGTCTGATGAGAATCGTGTGGAAGTAGAGGGTTTAGATTAGCTTGCTTTGGATGGGGATTCTTGGTTGTTGCTGGAAAAGAGATTTGAGGTTGAAGAGAAAAATAACACTATTTTCTCAATGGATAGATCAAAGGCTCCTAGCTTCGATGGATTTACTATGGCTTTCTACCAAGATTGTTGAAATTTCATTAAAAATGACCTCGTCGAGGTTTTTGATGAGTTCTTTGATAGGAACATAATTAACCCAAGACTCAATGCTACTTTTCTAGCTTTGATGCGAAAAAAGCCTGAGGCTGCAAGCCTAAGGGAGTTTAGGCCAATCAGTTTGGTGACTAGTATTTATAAAAAAATTGCTAAAGTACTTTCCTTGAGACTCAAGAGTGTAATCCCTTCCATTTCTACTCAAAATCAAGGAGCTTTATTCAGGATAGGCAAATTGTTGATCCACTTTTGATTGTCAATGATCAAAAAACTTTTGATTGCCAATGAATGTGTGGAGGAAAAAAAGAGGTCTGGAGGCAGAGGAGTTGTGTGTAAGTTGAATGTTGAGAAAGCCTATGATCTTATGAATTGGTCTTTTTTAATAGAGTTAATTAGGAAATGTGGATTTGGGCGAAAATGTTGCAAATAGATTTCTCGTTGTTTACAAACTTGTCATTTTTTTGTCTTGGTCAGTGTAGTGTGGGATTTTTTCCCTGCTTATAGAGGTCTTAGACAAGTGGACCCACTATTTCCCTTTCTTTTCACTCTAATGCAGATGTGGTTAGCAGGTTGATCTCTAGAGTTGATAGGGAGGGATTGTTTAGGGGCTGGGCAACTGGGAGGACCGGAGGAGTAATGTTGTGGTTACTCACTTCCAACTCGTTAATGAGATAATAATCTTTTGAGATGGGAATAATTAAGACACATGAGGATTTTGAGATTGTTGCTTAAGTTGTTTGCATCTTTGCTGAACTTAAGAATAAATTTTGAAGCTGGGGTAAATTTGGAGGAAAATGAATTAGGTGCAATAACAGAGGTGCTAGAGTGCTATGCTAGTGTTTTCCTATGAAATACCTAGGCCTTCCTCTGGGAGGCAATTTGAGGAGTGGTGATTTTTGGACCTGTCTTACAAAAATACGGGAAAAAGGTGTAAGCATAACTTTGATCAAGTCCACTTTGGCCAATTGAAAGTCACTGTGTATTGAAGATGGTGTTATTGTTCGTTTGGCTGGACTTCCTTTCCATCTTTGGAAGCAAGAAGTGTTCATGTTCGTTGCGTTAATTTGTGGAGGGTTTATTAGGATTCTTCACTGTTGATTTGTACTTAGCAGCTATACTTATCAATGGAGTTAAGCCGGAAGACATTCGTAGGGAGGTGGAAGTGCTGACTGATAATCTTCTCTTCTCAGGGTGGTTTAGCAGCCTCCATTGAAAGCTTCCCTGTGGAAGGAAGCTTGCAGGAAGGAAGATAAAGGGACTAAGAGGGATTGCTTACATGGATTTTAAGATTGGAGAATGTAAAAGGGACATAGCAGGTAGAAGGTTTCTTGACTTGGGATTTGGAAAGGGGCAACCATTGAAAAATCCTGTGTTCAAATGCTGATAGGTGGAGTTGATGCATGTAAGCATGTGCATAAGATTCAAGCCTCGGTGGAGAAGCCTAATAGAGAAGTGGAAAGGAAAGAGTTGGGTCGAATCGGATTGTGGACCTGGTTTAAACTAATGAAGGTGATAATGCAAGGGACCATGCAGGGAAAAGTTATTTGGCTTGATTGGGCTTGTTACGGTGAAGCCCAAAGTTAATGGGTTGGGAAAAAAGGTTGGGCCAAATGAGAAAAAATAGTTCAGTTATGGGGGAGGCACATGGGTTCTTAAGGGAGCACATGACCAGTAAGGAAGTGGCAATGATAGACGAAGGCATCTAGATGGGAGACTGTGGGTTTTGACAGAGTATCTTCAGGAAGCATATGAAGAGGAGAACGAAGAGGAAGTAGTTGAAGAGGTGTACGCCTCATACGCCTCTTTCATGAGGCATGCTAGAGGCGCACACCTCATGTGCCTCACACACACCTCATACAAAAAGACAACAAAGATAAAAAAAGAAAGAGAAAAAGGAAAGAAAAGGAAAAGAAAGGTGTTGTAAGGCTTGAGTGTTCATTGTAATTGATGTTAGTGGGACAGTTTCAGTTACTTTACTAGTCCTTTCTTTTTTTCTTTTCCTATTGTTCTTATTCTAGGATATGCCGCCAGGGGNTGTCCATGACCCGTCCAGATATTGTCTATTCAGTTGGAGTTCTGAGCCAGTTTATGCATTCTCCTAAGAAGCCACACATGGAGGCAGCAGAGAGAGTCCTTAGATACCTGAAGAACATCCAGGAACATGCCTACTATTCAGTAAACACAATCACCTGAAGGTGGAAGTCTTTACAGATGTTGATTGTGCAGGAGCAGTGGATGATAGAAAGTCCACTAGTGGGTATTGCACATTTGTGGGAGGAAATCTGGTGACCTGGAAGAGCAAGAAGCAAAGTGTGGTAGCAAGATCAAGTGCAGAAGCTGAGTATAGAGCTATGGCACATGGGGTGGCTGAAGTCCTTTGGCTAAAGAACCTCCTAGGTGAGCTTGGAGTTGCTGTTCATAACCCTATGTCTCTTTATTGTGACAACAAGGCTGCAATAAACATCGTCAGCAACCCGGTCCTACATGAGAGGACTAAGCATATTGAGGTGGATAAGCACTTCATAAGAGAGAAATTGGAAAAAAGGGAAATTTGTATCCCTTATGTCAACACCAAGGAACAACTTGCTGATGTCCTCACAAAAGGACTTCCGTGTTCGAGGCACAATGAGCTATGTGACAAGCTGGGCATGATAGACATCTTCAGCCCAACTTGAGGGGCAGTGTTGTAAGGCTTGAGTGTTCATTGTAATTGATGTTAGTGGGACAGTTTCAGTTACTTTACTAGTCCTTTCTTTTTTTCTTTTCCTATTGTTCTTATTCTAGGATATGCCGCCAGGGGCATACTTGTAATTTTGCCTTTTTATAAAGATTAATATAAATAGAAAACTAGCGGCTGCCAGTACTGAGTTTTTTGGCCTTTCCTTTCTATCATCCSTACCTATCTCTCTCTCTCTCAATCATCACAAGAAACTACATGGTATCAGAGCAGAATTTCTGGGCTGGAGAAGACCTACGATCCTAGCATCAGTCTTTCCGAAGGGGATTGGACATGACTACTTTTGTTTCAGAAGGAAAAGGAGAAAAGGAAAAAAAAACCTAGCGGCGGCTTGTGTTTTTTAATTCTCTHTGGCGACTGTTGCAGAAACCCACTGTTCTCTCTGGCGCTGTGTTTGCAGAAACCCACTGTGCTTGCAGAAACCCTAGTCAGCGGCTGTACTTCTGCTGAAACCCTAGTGGACTCATGTGACAGTTGCTGAAAACCCTAGCTGTGTCTGGCCGTGGGATGGTGCTGGTCTGCTGAAACCCTAATCGAAGGAGGGAGTTGATTGTGCAATGAAACCCTAGCAGGTTCTGATCTAGTGTTGAACCGGTGTGTTTTAGTTTTAGTTTCTCTCAGTCTCCTTTATCCAATGGTGCGTAGGGCTTAGGCCTTGATTATATGATTACTAGTTTGAATA